CCCCTCTTTCTTCCTTCCTTATTTTTTTCTTCTTCTTTTCTTTTCTTTCGAAACTCCGACTTACCGAGTTTTCCTCGTATTCCTATTCGCTGAGAAAACTGCTAGCGATCCCAAAATTCAAGGATTCGACGCAGATGTGACTGGAATTTTACCTTCTTTCCGTTGTGTAACTGTTATTTTTTTTCCCTTTATTTTTTCTTTTTTTTTTATCTTCTTCTCTTTTAGTTCATTTCTATTATTCCACTTATGTAATTTATACTTTTTTACTTTTACTCTTTTTATTTCTTTTTTTTTTTTTTTATATAAAATTAACACTTTACGTATGATATCAAAAAATTGGTTGGGAACAAAATAATATCTCAGATAGGATGATATATTTAATTTATGTATTTTCATTGTCTGATTTATTATCATATCTTTACACGATGTATGATATTATTAAGAATTTTGTATTTATAATTTATATCGAGAAATACACTCTTTTGAAAAAAGAAAAACAATTGTCTCAAGATGAGTATTTAAATACTTCAAATATTATTATATTTAATATATCAAGTAGTTTAACAATAATAATCAAAACATTTATCCGTACAGTGAAGAATAATTAATCTAGTATACGTAATAGTTGTCTATTGTTAGAATAGTATCGAAGAGAATAGTTGCCTTTTAAATGATGAAAATAGCAATTGCATGGAGTAGTAAGGGAATTCAGTGTTGTAATTAAATTCCAAGGAAGACGGACAGAGAGAGAATTAAGCTGTTTACTTTGCGTTTCTCGTTTCCGTGACGGAACGAACGATAGCGCTAGAAGGGATTACTCGGTCGATGATAGTTGTTGAACGTTCGTTACTCGAACGAAGAAACGAATGAATGAATGAACGAATGAATGAACGAACTAACTAATCAACGAACGAATGAACGAATCAGTGAATGACCGAAAGAATATCCAACGGAAATTGACGATGAGGAAGATACATGAAGGGTTTAGAAAAGCCATTTATTTATTTTACCTTTAGTTTTGTTCCGCTTTTATACTCAACGATAAACCGATTTCCATTATATTATATTTCTTTTATCTTTTCTTTGTTTAATGAAACTTTGCATCATTGTTCAAGTAACATGAGCATATACAAGGTGAATCATTTAATACAAGCCATTTAAATAATTTGATTGTTATCGTTGATAGACAAAAAGAAATATATATATATGTTATACGCGAAAAACATCCTTTAAATTCCACTCTTATCTAAAAGTTGAACGATATCTCACATAGAATATTTCTCATGTAAATGTCGTCAAGTGATTTCACGTAACATTGTACGTGAAATTTGCACACGTTGCATTTGCATTTGCATGTTGACGAATGTTTCCGCACGTTACTTACATGAAGATATACATATATATAATATATATACATATATATTATGTGTGTGTGTGTGTGCATGTATGTACTATATATTATACATATGCACCGAGTAATAGTTTCTTCCTCCTATCTCTTTCCTGTTTGTAAATTCAAATGAGACGAAAATTCATAGATATTAAAAATATTTATTCCTTCTCGGACGATTTACATTTTTTCTCTTTCATTCTCTTTCACTTTCGAATTCAATGAATTTATTTAAGAAAGTTTTGTCAACGACTTTTTAACAAGATTTGGTGATAGAGACAAAAAAGAAGAAAGAGAGGAAAAGGAAGAAGGAAAGAAAGAAAGAGAGAGAAAGAGAGATGTACAAAAGTTAGACATTCTTTTTGTATAAAAAAGAAAAAAAAAGTTGTTTCAAAATGAGAGCTTTCGAGGCCATTAGTATTGCCCCCCCATAGTAGAGAATTTCTGCGTTAGGGAAACCTAGTCACGTAGTGAACGTCCGACGGTTATTAAATCGAACGACACTTTCGGGTCAAATCATTTATTTTTTCGTGAGAGTCTTTTTTCTTTGTCGAGTAATGTAGAATGGTTAGGGGGATGGGGATCGATCGTTATGAAATTTATAACGGAAACATGAGTTCGTGTTGATATTAAGCGCTAACATTGTTAACAAAATAACATGAATGATGTTTCCTGAAGAAATAGTCCTATACGAATGAACAAAATAAAAATAAATAAAAAAGAAAAAAATATATTAGGATGTCAAATAAAAAAAAGAAAATGAATATGTATATCGTTTACTTAAATATAAAATATTGAAAAAGTATTGTAAGATTAACGAAATATTTTCTAGACCCCCTCGTCATTTGTTTAGATATAAAATATTACATTTTTCTTGCGGTACCACACAATTATCGTGGATAACAAGTTTATATTTATCAAGGTGCATGAAAAAAATTGAAAATTTTGAAGAAAAACATAATAGAAGCTTTACGAATGAACTTTGCATTATTTGTTGTTTAACCCAACTGAATAAAAAAAGAGAGAAAAAGAAAGAAAAAAGAAAAACGTAATAAAATACAACTAATCTAGTCGTGAATTGTTAGAACGATAAGTAGTAGTATTCATTTAGTTACAATAAACGTAACGCAGGACTAAACTTTATGACCGGAAATGTACAATGAATGTCTAATTAAAAGTGCAGCAGTAAGTCGAGATAATTAGACGTGAAAGTAGTAGTAGTAGTAGTAGTAGCAGTCGTAGTCGTAGGACGAGGAGAAAGACGAGGAAGAGAAGGAGGAAAAAGAGGAGACAAGATGGTAGGAAAATCGAGTCGAACAGTAAGCTTTCTTTTACCCCGTTTCGACTACACGAAACTCGTTACGATTTCTACGGCAGTTAACTCGTTGATTACTATAACGATTAAAAATCTACAAGTAAAGTTCTTGATTGCACTCTCTTTTTCTCCTACTTTTCCAGTAGTATCCCCTCCCCCTCCCCTCCCCCTCTCTCTCCCTCTCCTCCACCTTTCGACCCCCTAATCCTTTCGTTAGTGTAACGAGGTAGGTACTTTCGACATTATTTTCTACGAAAATGTACCACTGGCCCATGCGTAATTGGATTCCCCATTATTTTTCGCGAGAACATCGAGTTCGTTGCATTTGCCGTTGCATTTGCAGTTGCAGTAGAAGTAAAAATGGTACAATGGTAGTAACGCGTTGCTACTAGAAAGATATTTTCTTCTTGGCTCTCGAATGTCCCGTGGCACGTATCGTACTACCGAAAGTCGTTAAAAAAAAAATTCCCACGTTAATCTTCGATTTTACAACTTACCCATCGTTCCGATAGTATATCGAACTTGGTGAAAAAAATTGCCTCATATTTTATTCGGTAAATTACTTTATAATCGCATACCTCTGGTCGTACTACTAATTGGATTTGTCAATAATATTTAAGTAGATTTGTGAGAATAGTGATATATTATTGAGTAATTAAATTATGTTCCCAGTATCGATAAGGATTGTGAAAAGTTCGTTCAATACGTTTTTTCATTTGGTAATTTTGATTTCAAAGATACAAAAGAACTCTGATCGATTAATAAATGAACAAATTGATGAATTGTTTGACACAATTATGCACGTTAACAGTTATGACATGAATAATGAATTAAACGTCAATCAGAAAAATGTTTTTAATAATTTAGAAATGGTCGTATATAAAATATGAAAGAAAAAAAAACCTTTTTTCATTTTTGCATTAAAATACAAAGACAATTTTTACCTGACACAATATATAAATGTCTCTGTGTATGCGTGTTTGTATATCTTGACGTCTTTATCCACGAAAGTAAGAACGTTTTTGATAGCTTCCAGCAACCTGAGGCAAGCATGACTACCTAAAATCTTTTTTTCTTTTTTTTCGTTTTTTTTCACGAGCAGTAATAAATCTGCATACGTTAACTCCCGTGGTTGTAACTCGTATTTGTGTTAGTATTTGTACTTGCGATTCTTGTTCGAGGCTCGTGACTCGTTTCAAAGAAATTTGTCACGGGGGTTCTTTCATTTTGCTTTTCACGTCACGCCGAAAGAATCTCCACCCTTTTCGAACCCGTATTTGCTTTTTAGAGATCAATAATTTCCCATCTTTCTCTCCCTTTTTCTGCTTCTATTTCTCATTCCATTTAGGTATACTCGAACACTTCATTTTTCTTCTTGGCCACACAGTGCCTGAGCAACCAATCCTGTGTGCCCTTACGTGCCAGAGAGGATTCTAAACGTCTTTTAAAAGGGGAGAATGAAAAATCCATAACTCAACTTCTAACGTCGAAGTCCAATCCCTCTATCTCTTTCTCTCTTTTTCTTTCTCTCTCATTCTCTTTCTACTTGAAGAACTAAAGTTTCTTTTGATGCTTTCGAACTACTTTTATTGAGACGACAGGATTTTCGATCTTTTCAAATTACCAAACATTCTAATTTAGCAATATTTTGAAAACTTTAATACTAAGAAAGATTTAAATTACTTTTTGATTAATTTGTAATATAATTCAAATTATACAATCAAATTATAAATCTATATAATCTATAAATAATTGTAATTTTATCTTTTAATAAAATTTAACTTCCCCAAATGTCAAAAAAAAAAGAAGATATTAAATCAAATGTTTACCTAAAAGTAAGTATACATTTTTACACGAAATAAAATTTTCGATAACTATTCAAAAATTTAACTTTCGATCTATAAAATATTATAAATGACTATAATTAATCTAAGAAAAATTTTCGACCCTTAAATGCTAAACTTTCTTCTCCCTTTTTTTCATTCTTTTCGTCTTCTTTTTTTTTTACCCCAACCATACTTCGAGTTATTACACACCAATAAGGGTAAGTTATCGATCGTTCTTAAGAATTATAATAAAAAGTGTCGAGTACACGAAAAGTGGTTTAACTTAACTCTCAAGTTTATTTTCCTTTTTTTTCTTTCTTTCTTTCTTTCTTGTCTTTTCATTTTTCCTTTCGTTTCAAGTGAGATCTCAGAGAATGAATTAAAGTGACTCAAGTAAGTAAAGTTATTTTTTATTATATATATATATTTTAAGTACGTACTCGTTTATCGAGTATACTTGATCGCTTACCTTTCTTACAAGTGCTTCCTTTTGTATTGTATCAATAATTTCTTCCAAGATTGTTCCTTGTTACTGTTCTTCTTGTTGATATTACAATTTGTTTCTTCTCGTTTGATGTTTTCGTTTAAATTTTGACGAATATAAAGTATAAACGCTTTAATTTATATTACGCTTTACATATAATGATGATGATAATAATAATATTAGTAATAATAATAATAATAATAATAATAATAATTAAAGCACGATCTAATTTGGTTAAACTATTATTACAATATTTTAAAATAGATAGATGCGAGCGAGTGAGAAAGTGATAGAGTGGGAGTGCGTGTGTGAAAGAGAGAGAGAGAGAGAGAGAGAGAGAGAGGGAGGGAGGGAAGGAGAGAGAAAGAGAGAGAGAGAGAGTTCACGTTAATTATTTAACACGCGTCAGCGAATATTACCAACGCACTTGAAATTACTCAACCGTATTTCGTTACGAAATGATTAATCTATTACCGAAAGAGTTAATTACAGTATATTTGCTACTAAGTACAGCTCGGCCAGGTCATACTGAAAGAGAAAATTTACTACAACTTGGACAAATATTTCTTAATATATACTTTATAATACGGAACAACGATAAATATTTCGTTACCAAAAAAGAAAAGAAGAAAAAATAAACAAATCAATATACAATCAGAAATTTAAAAAGATAGTAGTATCACGTGAAAATAGTAACACGTAAGACAAATTTATAATAAACAAAGCGAGACTCTCGATTTCAAAAGAGAGAGAGAGAGAGGATAAAGAAGAAAATAATATTTTTCTTAACAAAAAAAGAAAACGAATATTAACAATAAATAATAAAATTAATTAGAAATAAAAAGAAGAGATAAAATCTAGAAAGAAGAAGAAGAAGAAGAAGAAAAATAGGAAAAAGAAAAAAAAGTAAACAACGTTTTATCTACACAAAATAACATATAATAATTATTGATGAAATTAAAACAAACAATTTGCATGTTTTTTATTTGTCTGTTTTTTTTTCTAGGGATTAGAAATATGTATTAAATAATACATATATTATTATAAGAAAAAGTATATAGTTTATCGATCGTAATACGATTGTGTTATGAGGTATAGGGGGGTGGGGTGGGGAGGGAGAGGGAGATACGCGTGAGAAAGAAAGTTAGTAGTCGAGTAATGGATTTTTCGATACTCCACATGGAAAACGAAACGAAGTGAAGCGAAGCCGCGCGTATCGGGTTCGCTCGAAGACTGAGGGGATTCCTTTCCTATTTTCCGACGCCTGCGCCCCACTAAATACCAATCCCAAGTTACGGCCCTGACGCGCATATCCCGCGCTTTTCCTTCTCCCTCTCACCCTGTCTTTCTTCCACGGTCTCTCTCTCTCTATCTCGTATTTTATCTGTATCTTTGTCTGTCACTTCATCTCTTTTATCATCTTTTTCTTCTTTCTTTCATTCTTCCTTTCTTTCTATTCTCTTCTATTCTCACGTTAAACTATTTCAAAAAGAGCCTTCTTCTTCTCTTTCGGTATCTCTTGCGCGTTTTCTCTAACGGATTGGCAGTGAAATCGGTGGGTCAGCATTTTTTCACACAGGTTCCCAACCAACGGATTAAAAGCTTCCTCGGTTGCGACAAGAGTCAGCATCTTTTTCTAACCAATATTTCACGCCATTAAACACCATTTCTCTGCAATTAAGATTCGAAAATTTTTTACAGATAGAGGGAACAAGAGAGTACGAAAGATAATTTATTTTCTTTCTTTTTTCTTTTGGTTTTAATTCGCTTTGTCCCCCATATTTCTTTTTGCTTCTTCTTTTTCTGTTTTCTTTTTTTGCAAACTCCACGCCTACGTTCTGATTTAGAGAATGACGGGTTTTTCTGTTTGTTTTTTTCTTTTTTTCAGTAAAAAATGAAGTAACGATCTACGATAGAGAACACCTTGGAAACGTTTTCCTTTGATTCTACATTACGTTTCCTTTTAATCATTGTTGGACTTATAAAAAGTTCTCTCTCTCTCTTAATCATTAATTCCTATATACGTAAATTCTGATTTCGAATGACATTTTTTACATCCAAAAATGGAGTAAAGAACATGAGAGGAAAAAGTTAGGTAACATTTACTTGTATTTCTATTTTCATTTGTTTCTTTCCTGTATTTCCTTTAATCATTGCTGGACTGACAAAAAGTTCTATCTCTTTCTCTCTCTCTCTTATTCATTAATTCCTATACCTAAATTCTGATTTCGAATGACATTTTTTACATTCAAAAATAGAGAGTATGGATATACGAAGAAAATCTAGGTAACATTTACTTTTATTTCGATTTTCATTTGCCTTTTCGCTGTATTTCCTTTAATTATTGTTAGACTGATAAAAAGTTTTCTATCTCTCTCTCCCTCTCTTTCTCTTCCTTACTCATTAATTTTTATGCTTAAATCCTGATTTCGCATAGCATTTATTACATTCAACTATCACCCTAAAAAACGAAGTAAAAGAACACGAAGAACATCCTAAGAGAATTTGTTCTATTTCTGTTCTATTAAATTCCCTTTTCTCATAGTCATTAATTAAATTTTTGAATGAAATTCTGTACATCCCAACATTTACCCCGAAACAAAACTGAGAAAAAAAAAAAAAAAGAACTAAACGATTCTCGTATTTCTATTCCGTCCTTCTTTTTCTGACCACAAACTTCCCTCTAATTTGTCTAAAGTGAAAAAAGAAAAAAGAAAATGAGAGAAAGAAAAGAAAGAAAAGAAAAAGAAAAGAAAAAGAAAAGAAAAAAATTAAGAAATAGAAAAACCAAATGCATTTTTAACCGACCGTAGAAAACTTTCTCGTCGACTTTGTAATTTAAAAGAGAAGAAACAAAATGAAACAAAAGGAACAAAGAAATTCTTATTTTCGGCGAATGATGCGTAAGTATTTTTCTCGCATCCAAGGATGTAATATTTTTTTCGCATTCTTTTGACCCCTGAACTAACGTTCCTTTTTTTTTCGAGGACAGTGATACGCATATATACTTGGACGCGTTTACACACGTATTGCATAAATGCACACACACACAACCACCCGGCCACTCACCCATCCACACACACACTCACAAATACACCCACACCCACACCTACACATACACCACACTCACGCCCACACATCACCCACACTCACGCTCGCACACATACACACACACACACACGTATATACATAGGTATACACGATGGAGAATTCTTTACGCCATTTTCTTGGAATTCTTCTTAATGCCCTTCGATCCGACTGTTTTTATTCTATTTTACTCATCCCTTTTCTTCTACTCTCTCACTGGGCAGTTCGCTCGACCTTTCATCGGCTCGCCAGGGTAAATGCATTCTCCCGTTACCGAGGTGCACCTAACTTATTCTTCTTCTTCTTCTTCTTCTTCTTCTTCTTCTTCTTCTACTTCTTCTTCCTTCGGCTACTTCATTCTTCCGCTCCACTTTTACTTCTCCGTAAAAACGTTGGACTTTTCTGGAAAGGCAAGCAAGCAAGCAAGCAAGCAAGCAAGGAAGCAAGCAGGCTTACCAACGTGATCTTTCTCTCCCTCTCTCTCTCTTTCTTTCTTTGTTTCTCTTTCTATCATACTCACTCTTTTACGAACGAGACAAAGAAATACTATTTGAAAAGCTGACAAACGAGATCTTCTCTTTTAAAGTAACAACGACGAATAGTATGACTTCGTTTTATCCGATTTAACGTCTTCTTTTCCAGCTTCTTCGATAACTTCATCTTAAGTTACTTTTTGTTGTTGTTATATTTTCTTGATATTTAATAGATATCCAACATTATGAAATAATATTGGTTTATGTGTATATCTTAAATTAGCAATTTATTTTCATTAATTTCTTAATTTCTTCATTTCTATATATGATATGATCTTCATTTTTATATATGATGATTAATTAGAATGCAAAGAAATATTATTTTTTTAATTCTGACTCATATAGGATCTTTTATTTTAATTTAACAATTGAATATCTCTTTTTCACTGTATTCTTGTGGGTTTATTAAATAATTAATTATTAAATAATATGAGAAAAAATATTGGTATACGCGTACGCGCGCGTTTCGTGTCGACAATTTATTTTCATTAATTTACTCTTAATCGTTTCATTTTTATATTATATTTGATGATGAAAAGAAAAACAGAGAGGATCATTTATTTTGAAAATATATCGAAATAATTATTATCGATTCGGCTATTTGGTAATTTTTTTTTTCTATTATGTTGATAATTATTAAGGAATGTGGAGTAGTGTGGTGCGATCACATATATATTGCAAAGTAGCAATTAATGTCGTCACTTAGCTAAACCGTTCTCGTTGTAAGGTGTGATGCCTATTCTACACGAATTACGCTTGCAACGATTTAATTGGGTTAGAGCCGAAGCCGCCTTCCGGTTACTACGATAGGGGTAATCGCATCGACCCAACTCAAGGATCAGTGGTATTACTTTACATCTTAAGTTAATCACTCTGCTCGAGATAGAATATTCTACGTTCTAAGTTAGTTACTAAGTTTGGCCCAACGTTCACGATAACTTGTCAAATTTAAAAAGTCAATCTGTCTATCAGATCTATCAATAGATTTATTTTTCTATGAATATTCAATATTTTCGTATCGGAAATCTAAACGAATATTGTCATAAAAAATAATAAGTAATAATTTTCTCTGTTAAATAATTATTACGGGAATAATCATTTTTCAATTTAAATATAATTGAAATGTCAATCCGTGAATCTTCATATCAAACATCGGGACACCGCGCTGTGGTTTAAAAATAATATTTTTTCTTTTTTTTCCTCTAATGGAGACATTTCAAGAGACACAAAATTTGAAAGGTTAGATAATTTTGATATTACTAGTACGAAAGGAATCGATCAAAGCTGAACACTTCAGTCGAATATTGCTGATGGTTCTTTTTATGGATAGATTCTTTCGAAGACACTCGTTGTCATCTCCTTTCTAAAAATGCGGGTGAATAATGAAGTGACAACTGAATGGACAAGATGTCTCTTAGGAAAGGGATGGTCCCGTATTAGAAATTTGACGAGTGGAAAAAGCCGTCAAAAGTTTTTTTCCCTTTCGAAAATATGACACGAACATGATGACGATCATTCTCTGAGTCAATGTGAAATTCTGTTACGCGATATTTTAATAGAATAATGTTCGTTTCAAGTATTACATTATACTAAGTATTTTTTTATCATGGTTTTAGTAATTTTTAAAATATTAAGTTACCTAAAGAAACAAAAAAATGGTTAACATGGTTTAAATAAAATAATGAATTTTCTCGTGTATTAAGTTTTTTCATTTCTATGTAAAATTTATCGAAAAATATTTCACACGAGAGAGAGAGAGAGAAAAAGAGAGAGAGATGAGTTCTCATAATGTATTTTATTCAAGACCAATGAATTCATGAACAACGAAGGGTTAAACAATAATAGAAAGATTTCTAGTTAAAAACTCATCAAGTGGAAAACAATTATCGTTGAACAATATTCTTGTCCTCGGAGGAATTCGTTTCGAGTAACAAGTAGCTTCCTTCCATCCTTAACAATGATGAGTTATATAAGAATAGAATTGGACAATAGTTATTTTTGCAAAGATTTTCCATATAAAACAACAAGTTTTAACAATACATGACTGTTTTGTTTTGAATGCTATAATTATTTTCACCACGTAAAACGAAGAATGGTAATTAAAGAAAGAATAGGAAGGAAGAGATGAGAA